AGGTTGGTAAGTGACAGGGGGTGCAGGAATGGGTGTGTTTGGGAACAATGAGGTTGTTATTAGTTTTGGCCCAGCTTTTCTCTGTCTCTAGTCATCTTTCTAGGAATCGCAAGGATTGTTGTGTTTTAGGATTCAAGGTTCTAGACGATACTTCAACTATTCTGGAAGTATTACAGGTCAGGGAAAGCACTTGATGCAAGAATTTTAGCTTTTGTAAGCCAAAGTTCTAAGCCTAGTCTGCTTCAGGTGAAGCTTGATCCAGCAGAGTAAAAGACCTTAGGCCCCATCGTCGGCTTCTTCATCCTTAGCTTCCTCAGGCTATACGTTACCTCTTTTAAGAGCCTCCCAGCCCTCTGTTTATGAGTATCTATGCTTCTTGTGATTGTAATTTTGGCATGCTCACAGCTGTTAGTGCTTGGTCAGGATTGGGTCATCGATACCTGGGGTCTGGTTAAAGTCATGTATCAGTTGATGGATAACCATTAACATCCAACTCCAATGGCACCTGTGATGCCAGCCCCATGATTGGGGAGTGGGAGGGGCGGAGATTCATCAAAGGAAATTCAGAATCCCCATTACCAAAAGTGAGCTGCAGGATAGAAATACTCAACACTTTTGACTAGAAAGACACTTTCCTGAGAAGATGGCTTCACCCTAGGAACTTCCTTAGATTTCCTGGAGGATCCTGAGTCTTTACTGTGAGCGGGAGTGAGGGATTGGGTGTGCATGTCATGGTGTCATGTCATGTCACCAATCACATGTCTTATTCCATAGCTGTAGGAGTGAAACAAGAGTCCAGTGTCCATGCATGTGTGTGTGTGGAGGCCAGAGGCAGATGCTGGGTTTCTTCCACAATCATGCTCCATCTTACTTTTAGAGAGACGGTCTCTTTTGTGAGCTGGGAGCTCACACATTTGGCAAGACTGTCTGGTCAGAGAGTTCCTGTCCCCCCCTCACCAGTGCTGGGGTTACAGATGTGTGCCACCTTGCCCCTTTTTACCTAGGTCCTGAGGATCTGAGCTCAGGCCCTCACATTTGTGAGGCAGGCACCTTATCCACTGAGCCATTTCCCAGGCCCTGATTTTCTGTTTCTTTTGCTGTTATCATCCAATGTATGGCAGAATTCACACCTTGAGGTGTCTCAACACTCAGGTGTAAAGGAAAGGTCAACAGCTGAGAAGAACCGTTTCCTGGTGTATGTGTGACATGGAAGCTGACAATGAACTTCCACTGTGGAAGTTCAGGACCTGCAGATACACAGTCTTCTGCTAGCCATAGACCCATCCATCTCCAGGCAGGTTTCTCTCTACCGCCCAGGTGGGTCCCAAATATGTGGTCCTCCTGCCTCAGCCTCCTGAGTGCTTGGATCACAGGCAGATACCACCACACCATGCTAAGCTTCTCCCTTGGAGCAGAGCTTGCCTTATGGGAGACGGCAAAGCCTTCATCTTCTTCTCTCTTCCTCTCCCTCCCTCTTTCCTGTCCCTTCTCTCACCTCTCTCTTCCTCTGTGATTGTTCTCTTCTGGAGGTTTCTGCAGGAATCTTGCTCATTAGCTGTGTCCCCACCCCCCCACTGCCCAGGGACAGTCTCTGTAAGTGGTACCATCTGCAGATATGAATAGGTCCCTTAATTTTATGGTTTAAAATACATTTGCTGACCTCTGTGCAATTCCCATATTTTAGTCATTTTCGTGTCATGACTCAGGACTCATTCATTAAGCACAGTGCTTCTCAAATGAAGGACGGAGGTGGAAATCCTTCTTAAAGATGACACTTCATACTGTTCAGCCTCTGTCATAGCCCGTGTGCCCGTGTGCCTGCCGGTGGCGAAGGGTCTCTCTGGCTAAGGGTGGCTCTTCTTCATGAAGGCCACCATTTAATATGTCATTCTGGACAAATCTGGTCCAATAGATCTGAGCTGTCCCCACGCTGACCCTGGTTCTGCTTTGTCGACGGGTGTCTCAGGGAAGACACACCTGTTTTGAGGTGGGAGGTGATGGGGGCAGGCTGAGGGCGAGAAGAAGCTCAGATTCTGGGTTTGGGGCATGTTGGTGTGTGACTCTCCCCATGGCAGCTTATCTTCTGGGCTTGCTCACCGTCTTGGTTGCTCCCACGACGCATCTTAATGCCTTTTCATAGCAAATTAAGTTTTGGATACAACGATTTGTGCTGTGCGCCCAGTCTCAGCTTCATGAGCAGCCTTGAACAGTCTCTCTCCTCCGCAACATCCTGGAAATGATGCTTCCATTTGGGAAATTGAAAACATGCCCCCCCCAATAAACCACCCAATAACTCTTTCGAAGTTTGAGATTTGGGAATGACCTACAGAGAGCAGTGTTCTGTCTTGATTGTCAGCATGGAGGCAGTGGTGGTGGCTGTGGTTGTTGTTGTTGGGATTCATGAGCCCCCACCCCCGACTGAGGAGCTAGTGACAGTTGATGGCTTCTAGGGCAGGGAGATTTAGTTTTTTTAAGTGTGTGTGGCCCCTGGTAGGTCAACCTTGTTCTAATGGAGAACCTCATATCCTTGACTGTATGGATAGCACAAACTGGAGCAGGTGAGTTATAAATTAAAAAAAAAAAAGAGGAAAGAGGTGAGGGAGAAGGTGGGTATGGGTGTGGGAGGAGTTAAGAGGGAGGAGTTGAGGGTGAACATAATAAGATATGTTTGATGAAATTCTCCAAGAATTTCTAAAAGTATTAAAAACAACACAGATCTGATGGCTCCATACGGTTGTATACTGCAGTTGCATTTTAAAGGCAGTCATCAAATTCACCACCTCACCAGCAAGTTGTACCCAATTCCAGCCTTGAAGAACTTAATAGACGCTCCCAGGGATGGGTGTGGTGGGGCTCAAAGCAATCCCAGCACATCAGAGGGTGAGGCAGGAGGATTGCAAGTTTGGGGCTAACCTGACCCTGGTAGTGTGGGCTAGTGATTAGAACATGGCTTTGTAAGATGCAGACCCAGCAAGAGTCCTCATCCAAAGCTCAGTGGGTGTTGGACATAGTGGCACAAATCTGGAATCTTAGCATTCTGGAGGCTAGTTGAAGAGGATCATGAGTTCAAGGCCAGCCTTAGCTCCACAGAGAGACCTTGTTTAGAAAAAAAATCAAAGGGTAGAAATGAAGGAAAGACTGGTAGAAAAATCATTTACAATGGAGCAAGTAGGTTAGGAACCCATGCTGTAGGGACTGAGAGAGAAACCGAGGCCTGATGATTCGGGGCGAACATCCTGGAACTGCCTTGAGAGGGCTAGCAATGAGAGCAGGAGGGAGAGTGACCCACCATGCCACTTTCCTCCCTCCCCCAACCTCTTGCTGGGCTCTCATTGGCCGAAGCCAATGCAGAGCCCTGGGCATGGCAAGAGCGTGAGAGCAGCTTCCCTCAGAGAGAATCCAGAGAGGCTCAGGAAAAAGCCTACAGCTCAGCCTGGCCAATGGTATCTCAGTCTCCTTGCTGGATAAATGTCACCAATCACAGTTCTTGTTCCATAGCTGTAGGAGTGAAACAAGAGTGGGCAGATTTCAAGATGAGCTGTAGGAAAGGCTCCCTGCTTTAGGGAAGGGCACATGCTGGGACAGGCACGAGGCCCCAGTGGGGTCTTTAGATGGGGCAATGTACTGGTTACCTTTCCTCTTGCTGTGACAAAAATCCCCAGTAGAAGCAACTTAAAGGATGTATTTTGGTGCACAGTTCAGGGACATAGACCACCACAGAGAAGAAGGCATGGTGACAGGAGCTTGAGGCAGCTGTTGAGATCCTGATGCATCCATCATTCTGCCAGAAAGCAGAGATGCCAGAAGTGGCATGTGCTGTAACCCTCAAGCCCCCTTCCTCAAAGGACCCAACCTCTACCAGCCAGGCTTCCCACCCTAAGGGCTTTGCAACCTCTCCCACACACCACCATCCCTGCCTGGCTGCTCAGTTCAGGCCCCAGGCCTACAGAGAGTGAAGATGTCACTGCACTGGTAGGCTGAGCATCCTTAGCTGGGTGTGCAAATGTCTACTTTGGAGCCTGGGGAGCCAAGGTCCCCAAAGCAGTGTGAAAGGAGCTGCTGGGGATGTTTGGGAAACAAGTTGGACCCTTTATTTATTTATGCTTCTTTGAAAAAAGCTGATGTGTTTTGATGATTTCTGAAGAGTTTAAAAACAATATACTTAATTGCTATGAGTAATTTCAGAGCTCATTAATGTAATAAATCTCTAGAGGGAAATATTCTTAGTTAACGATCAACGTAAAAGCGGAGAGGCTGGAACAGCAAGTAGGGACTTCAGCTCGTCCTAGGATGGAGCAGGAACTTTGGGCATGGGAAAGGAGAGGGCCTGTCTGTCCATGGCACATACCTGCAACTGAGGCTGGGCAGGGACACCAGTGTCACTTGGACACAAGATTACTAGAATCATCATCCAGAGGTTTTTGTGGTTTGGAGAACCTTGGACTCCAGCTTGGTGAATTTTGTTCACCATTAGTAAAGAACTACCTATAAGTCAGAGGGAAGCTCCTACAAGCTAGCTCTGAAGTCCAAACTTATCCCTAAGCCCAAATAAACTAAGTCCTGAAGTTCTTAATGCATCCCTCCCTTGATCTGCCTCATGTCAATCAAAGACATCTACCCAGTCCTTAGTTCTCTGTTGTGGGAAGATAGCTGTCATAACAATGTAATGGAGGAAGGGCTCAAGTTTTCAGAACTCGGTGTTTAGTCACGTGGCTCTGTGAGTGAATGTGGTTAGGCAGGGAGCACAGAATGAAGCAAAACAACCCATTTTATAGTGAGCAGGAAGCAGAGAGGGGCCTGGGGACGAGATACTCTCTCCTAGGGCACATTCCCAAGTAACCTACTTCCTTCAGTCAAGCCTTCAACTTGCACCTTCCACCACCTCCCAACAGTGAGGTTTACTTCAGCTTACAGTCCATCATCTTGGGGAAGTTCAGGCTGTAGGAAGGTGAAGCAGCTGCTCACATTACATCCACAGCCAAGAGCAGAGAGTGCAGATT